AACCTTGTTGAAAACTCCATGGGCCTTGTTTATTTAATAGAAGTAGCCGTTAGGAGATCAGCTTGGGACAGTTGTCCGAGTCAGCTGTCTCATACCCCAATTTGAATTTGGTCTGGTACAAAAACTGTGCACTTCTATGCTGTGTTTTAAAATCAGGCTGCTGTAGTGTCATTATTGCGCTAACAACAGTGTATTTAAAAAAAAAAGTCACGTCTCTTCCACCAAGTAGGAAGAACTAACTTTGGATCTTGTTTCAAATCTTCCTGTAATGATGAATTATTTGGAAATGCTTTTCCTATCATGCAGCGTTTGGGAACTGACAACAACCAGTAAAGATGATCTTCAGGTTGAATATTATGTCCGATAGAGTTAACTCCTGCTCTTAGGTTTGTGCGTTTAATGGCTCCTTGTCTGCTGGTAGCTTCATTAATGTTGTCGTGAAAGTCTTTCATGTATTTTTGCAAAATCTGAGCGTATCTTCTGTTTTTCTCCTAGGCAGTATGTATAGATGTAGAAAAAAGTGAACGTGTTGTTGAATCTTTCCAAGCTGATGTAAACAAGTTAAAAAGGCAAATCGCACAAAAGAAAAATGAAAAAGAGCAAGAAATAAGTAAGTCGCCTTTTCATTTTTTTTTGTTTCAGAAGCAGATGCTGTAAGGGCGAAATGTTTTGTGGAATTATTGGATTGTATTCCTGATAGGTCATGGCAAAAGGAAAAAAAAAAAAATCACATTGGTAAGGGGCTACGATAGATTTACATGGAATGATACCTGAACTGTGAACAACGTATGTGTGCTGCAGATATTTCTGTAAGAGTCATCCAGGGTTAGCAAACTTAAAACACAGGAGAGAGGCAAAGCTGTAGAGGAAGAATGAGAAAGTCAGTTCTGGAAATAACACAGGAAAAGATCGGTTGTAGGAAAGGAAAAGTGGAGCAAAGCCAGGAATGGTAAAAGCAAATCTGACCACTGGAGAGATTCCTTTTGGAGCGTTCCATGGAAACAGGGTGCTGTGTTTACAGGCCAGTAGCTGTCAAGGGTTTTTAATCCTCTTCCCACTCCCCAGCGCTATCCCCAAACTCAAGCCCAGCACCAGTTAAGAGCGAGTCCAGTTTTATTGCTGGACACCAGACAAACTGGGTGAGGGAAGATGAGCGCTTAAGTGATGAACATTGATGTAGCTCATCTGAAGGGCTGCCCAGATGATTTTTGAACTTGTGGATTTTGGTGGATGTATGAGGTTTTTCACGAGTGATTTAGAGGAGACCATCTACATTTTTATCCTCCTCTCCCACTTCATAGTTACTGGTTTAGTCACTGGTTTAGTCAGCAATTTTTACATTATCTGCTTAGTGGTGACTCTGATTAGCATTGAAATACCGCTTTTCCATGTTGAACTACATCTTCCCAAAAGTCCATTTTGAAGTCACTCCTGTCTTCAGCAGTACCTGCTAGAAATTGGAAGAAACTACTCAAGTGCAGAATGTTGTTGGAATTTGCCTGCCTATTTCAAGTACCAAATCATCACTGATACGAATTTAAATCTGTATTAGTTTTAATTCCATGAAGCTACTGAAATACTGCCCTTCTTACGGTGTGTTGGGGGAGAATTCATGGGATTCATTTTGGGGGAAGCTGAATCAGGTAATCTTTGATTTATTGAAGGCAATACAGGCATGATGGTCTTTCTAGTGAAGTTCTGAATGCAGAAATTACACTTCTGCTCTGTTTTGAAGACCTATATTAGTATTGAGTTGATTTGGTTTAAGTTCCCATGGTGCAAATAAACCCCATTAAAAATTCCACGTTTTTATTAGGGTTGGTTCTGCATTCTGTATTTGTAGTACAAGTTTTCATAGTACGTATTTAGGACTGGGAGGGAAAGTCATAGGTGTCTGTGCATGAATTTTTGCTGCTCCATAATTTTCTGAATCGGAGAGCTGCCGTGTGAGCATCCTGGCCTGGTCGCCACACTGTCCCTCCTTCCTAAAGATTGGGTGTGGCTTCAGGAGGCTTTTGCTTAGCAGTAGACAGGTTTTGTGAAGGGCCTGGACCTTTCCAAGGAGACGCTGCTGATCTAATTTAATTTGTGAGTGCGAGGGAAGCCTGAAGGTAGAGAGTAGGGGCAGAGGATACACAAATGGAAATGGTATATTAAAAAAAAAAAATCATAAACAAATTACATATTTCAGCAAAGACTGCCTCTTTTTTCCCACGTTTTGAGATGACAAGCAAATAACCAAATTCTGTAATTTGAGCTGCACGATGGTTTTTGTTATGTGTGCATCTTGCTCTCTAAAGCTGTGCCTGAGACTAAAAGGTGGCTTCGATGGGTTAACACCCTGACCTGTGCGATGGGCCGCTCTGCTGCTGTGGCTGGATGTTTTCCTTTTCCCCAGGCAGCAAGGCACTGTTATCCCATGAGCGTTTTAGAACAGGGTTTGATCTGTCGGCCCAGGTTCTTCCTTCTCTGAACCTCAAAGATGAGGTAAAGGGCCAGCATCAGCCCCAGACCCTGTGAAGGATGCAAGTGGCCGGAGTCAGTGCTGGTTCCTGCTCGGCTGTAGATGAAACAGCCAAGGAACTGCTACTACGGGAGCTAGCGAGAGGTAGAGATGGGTATTTAGTGTGACTGGAGCTGATCCCAGCCCATATGGCAAAAGATGGGGGAGGAGGAGGAAGAGCAGTCGGTGCTAGCCTCTAGATACTACCAGTGAGATGCAAATGCTGGACTGAAAATTTATGCCAGAGCAGATAATCATGTGAGAGGGCTGAAACAAGAAAACATGCAGCTTGTATCTGCAATATTTTTAGACGTGAGTAGCTAAATACTGAAGCTGGCCTTCTGTTCCCTCGCTTTCTCGATATCGGGAGAATTTCCTTGGTTTTCGTGAGCTGAATATTCCGGTTAATCATTCTCTGAGCTGGAGGGAAAGGGAGTGTTTGATTCAAATTCCTGTGGCAGCGCTGTGTGACAGCTTGTTTGGTTAACAGGTTATGACTTTAACCCTCTAGTGTAAAAGTCAGTTGAGACTTTACTTGCCAGGTGGCTGAAGTAACGTCGTACAGGTAGCGGCACGGCGAGGGCCGTGCGCTTCCCGGGGGCCAGGAAATCTGCCAGTTCTTGCATTGTGGACCAAAACTGGAGTGCTGTTATGGAGCCACTTGAGGGAATATGCTCTTTTTATGACTCAAGAGAGATCTCATTGACTTGATTACAGGAACTCTTCAGCCTTGATTGATTGATTTATTTATTTATTTATTCCCTTTTTCCAGAAGCACGGTGTTTCAGTAATTAGAGTGATACGATGTTGTCTGTCACCTAGCTGCAAGGCAGCTTTACATACACTGGTGTCAGCTCTGACGGAGGTTAATAGCCAGTTAGAAACCAGTTGAAAACTGAAGTCTCTCCCAGTGCTTAAGAAACCTTCCTGCAAGGAATTTTTTCCTCATACCCAGTGTATACTCTTAATTTAAGCTGCCTTCTGCTTACCTTTCCTCAGCAGTGCCTTATGTGCATCTAAAGACTGAAACTGTTTCCTCAGTCTTCTCTAAATATCCCAGTTATTGCTGTCTTTTCTCTTAGGTAACGATATCTAGACCCCTAATGAGTCTTTGGTAGAGTTTCTCCAGTTTTTCCCTATTTCTTAGGGAAAAACTGTGGTGTTCAAAATTAGATACAGTATTCCAGTTGTAGTTTTAACCATGACCATACATACTGAAATAATACTGACCCCTTTCTCAACAGCTGAGCACATTAATGCGTGTTGGTATTTATAGTTTATGTAAATAAATGGTAAACCCATGTTTCTTTTCTGCAGCAGGATGTAACTGTTCCTCGTTCTGCAGCGTGTGCAGTTCGTTATTCCTGTGCACACCTTCCGTAAATGAGACGATTTGGAAAATAATTTAAGATCACTTTTCTGTTCTGATACCCCGTTATACTTGGAGCTGTTACTAGCACAGTGCCACCTGCAATGTTCATGAGCACGTGCTGATTAAATTCCATCATGTAGGTTGTTAATGCGAGTATAGTCCCGGTGCACTTGTGGGAGCTTCATCCTGACGTGTCTTTCCAATGTGGCTCTTAACCGTTGTAACTGGTCTTTAACCGGTTCTTCAGCTATTTATTTATATTTTTTTTTAGTCCTCACAGTGCTTATGTTGCTGGCTGTTCCTTATGAAACATGGAGGTGCTGTGAAATCCTTAAAGGCGAGCCATATCTGTGGCTTTTGGTCTTGCTTGGGTTGTTAAAATCACACGGATTGGAAAGAGACCCTGTCCTTAGTGGACAAGTTTGTTTCTAGCAGCCGTCTAACCGTACAATTACTTAAATAAAAGTCCAAACATGGAAGTGGTGGCTTTACCCATTGTGTATGGCCTTTCACAGAGAGCAGATTTCAGTGATTGTGCCCGATTTTTCCAGGTACAGTGAGCAACAAACCAACGTGAGAGCCCCAGTGGTGGATCCCTGTGCTAGGGATCTAGGAGCACGGGTTCAAAAGGCGGTATTCTTGCTCAGCTAGCGAGTTAGCCATCCCGGTGGGAGGTCTGGGCTGGCAGGAGGCAAGCGTGATCCGCAGTGCTCTCGGCAGCCCCCGAGGCTGATCACAGGCATCGGGAGGGGAAGTTTTTAAAATAAAAATTGGAGGGAAGAAAAGGTAACTGCTTTGTTGGTGTTCCTGGGATTGTCCCCTGGCACGAGGGGCGTTGTAAGAGAAAGTACAGAAGTGTGATATTTTTTAAGATGTAATATCAACAGTAGAAGCTGATCATGGTGTGATCCAGGGGAGTCAAGCTTTCAGTACCGAGTAAGACGTAGGTGGAGAGGAGCAGGCGCAACGAGCCCTAGCGTGGCTGCTTTTTGACGTGAAAAGGAACGGAGAAATACAGAGAGAAGATGAGGTGGAAAGAGCAACAGGTTATGGAAACCTCTGTAGCTGTGTTTTTGGGGGACTTGAGCTGGAGGCAGCGAACTGTGCGGGATGACTGCGCACATAAAAATGCAGCGCGCTTGCACTTAAGTTTATTGGCTTTCTGGCTCATTTTGGTTTCGAAAGGGCATCCCTGAGATAATCCAGTTGTGCCAATACCGGTGAGTTTCATGAAGGCAGTGCTGAGTTTCGTGAAGGCAGTGCTAAGTTTAAGGAAGATAATCTTTGTCAAGCTCAAAGCGTAGGACGTGGTGATAAGCAAGATTTGACGTGGTGGTTAGGGAGAGCTCTTACATAGGCATCAGTGCTTAAGTCAGAATTGCCAGAGATGAGTAGCGGAGACCGAGAGGAAAAGATCCAGTGCTGGAGCCTGAAAGCAATGCTGGGGTGAACGTTTAATGACAACAACCAGAAGGAGAGAGAGAGAGAGAACAGCCGAGGGCCGCTGGGCGGGCGCGGTGTGTTACGGCCGGGCCCCGTGAAGCGCGTTGCGAAGGGAGGATTAAGCGCCCCGATGTTCTTTGCTTTTGTAGGAATGCAGCAAGCGATTTTGAGCAGGCAAATGCCAACGGATAACTTGGAACCCATGTTCGTTCCCCGAATGTCCTACACTGGCTTTGCTGTGGAAGGCTGCACGCTTGAAGATCCGGATGTCTCTGATCCTCCGCCTCCGTATTCCGATTTCAGCGCGAGCAATCCAGAAAGTACTGTTGGGCACGGTCTCCTGGAAAGCAATGTGTTTATGCCTCGACCTCAAGCAGTAGGTTCTTCCAGTTATGTTTCCACAAATGCAGGATTGAAATATTCTGGTAATGGAGCATCCATGCCATCTTCCCAAAGAGCAGTTGGTGACAATGTTGACGAATCAGAAGACAGTGATTATGAAAACTTGCTTGAACCTACGGAGTCATCCGACAGTGAATACTCACAGACAAGGGATTCACGACCTTCAGCACATCCTGATGGTGACTCCAGGAACACTCAAACTTCTCAGATTTGATAGGGGGGTGGAAAAAAAAAAAAAGAGAAATCCACATGACGCTGTTTTTTCATAATTGTTACAGAGAGATTTTGGGGATTTAACCTGGAGGAGATGAACTACACAGGATTACTGTGCACACAAAATGTAGAAGACTTGCACTAGATGGTTTGTTCACCTTGTGATACATTTTGCAAGTTTTATAATGGAATCATTAGGATAATCAAGTTGTACTAATACTGATGAGGTTCATGGATGTACTGGTAAACTTAGGCAAAATGAAATTTATAGAGATCTTGTAGCTTTTGTTGCCGTATTTTTCTTTAAGACAATAAATTGGGATGTAGTAACTAAGCACAGTTAGTCTACAAATAATGTTCTCAAATCAAAACTTACCTCTTGCACTATCATGCCTTGAATTTTAATTTTTGAAAGGGAATAAATATATCAGCCGCCTTCAAAATAGCTTTCCGATGGTAAGCCAAATCGGCCTTTGCAAGCAAAGAAATTTTGATAATTCCGAGAAGCCTGATTGGAACAGATGTGGTCCACCTTCTTCTGTCGGCATGCTCTTTTATCAGAGAAGGGGTTTGTTTCAGCTTTTTTTACTAGCAGAATGTGTGTATCACTGAAAATGATGGTTGCCTTTCTTTCTGTAAAGGGGGTGGGGGTGGGGTGACTGGTAAATCATCCAAATGAATGTCATAAATATAATTATTCTGGTTTCGCCGGGTTTACAGTGACTTTACGCCACACTAGCCTCATTTATTGTCTCATTTGTTATTTTAGCATAAATACAAAGTGCGCATACAGGAGTCAATGACTGAGAAGTAGTTAAGTTCCATCATGATTGGTCTTTGGAGTCTGCAAATTACCAACATCAGAGACTGCTTCTTGCATTTTATTTGCATCTGAATATTGGATTTACGCTTCTAGAGGAGTCATCTTATGTAATAAATAGGGGATAGGGTAGGAAAAGGTTGTTTGGAGAGTCCCCTGGGTTTATTACCTCTTTTTTTTTCCTCTGGGTGAAATGTGTCAGTGATTATTTTAATTGGAATTACAGCTCTTGTCAGAAAATTGCCGTTTGGGATAAATGAAGTGTGGTATATTTAGAGAATTTCATGTTTGGATGCACTTATTTTTATTTAAATACTGCTTGTATGCTAATGTTGCCCAAAATATGTGAAATTGTGCCACTCAGAAGTTTGTATTGTTGGACTTTATCCCTGATCTGTAAATGAGAAAATACATGTTTTAAGACGAGGTTATCTTAAGCATTGGTCACTTTGAGGTGGGAATAACCACGTCTTTGGTTCGCACCCAGAAGAACAAAGCAGTCGCTTAAAAGTTTAAATAGATCGGATTTACAGAAGACTAAAGTTTCAGTAGGTCTTGTACAGGTAGGCGAAAAAGTCTGTTCGTTAGCCGCTCCTTACCTGCGCGAAATTCAGCGAAACGACCTTGGGAAAAAAGGAAATGTTAAACTTGCCACTCTTCTGTCGAGTGTTCTCACCTTTAGCGGTCTGTTTTAACTATTTTACGTCATTCTCCTTAGCCTTAACTTGATGCATTTTTTGTCTCCGAGTGTTGCGACCCCTTTGGCACAGGACTCGCTCCGGGGATCCCGCGGGCTCTCTGCAAAGCACCTGTGGGTCGAAATCCGAATTGACGAGATGGCAACGACCGGTTGTTTGGGTTTTTTTATCTTTATTCCGCACAGAAACCTGCAAAATGTACATCTCTGACAAAGCAGTTAAATGTGACAATAAAATCTTATTTAATCCTGTAACTTATACTTCAGTATTTGTCAGGGTCCGTGGCAGTGAAATAACTCAGCAGAACACCGAAGCGCAGCTCAAAAGGAGCGGTTTGTTACCGCTAGCCTGTTTGTAGGGCCAAGGGGGGGGGTTGGCGGAGGGGGAAGAGGGTGGCACTGTGCCCTCCCCGTTGCATACCTGCCCCACGTTCTTACCATTATGTTGCCACAAAAATCCGTGAGTTCTGTAATATTTTAATCACAAAAATTATCTGAAGTCCTGCTTGCTTTTACATATAACAGGTAGGTGATTGGAGGCGGAACGAGTATGTAACCCTCTAGGCAGTGCCCGTCTGCGGGTGCTTTCATGTGCTGTAACTGCATCCTCGTAAGAGCAAAGGGTGTGTTTTTTATTTCATTATTTTTAAATTTGGGTAACATTCTGGTAAAAAAATACCCGTGAACGGCCTTTGCCGTTTTCATTACAGTCCTGCTAAAGATAAGGGAGTTGGGTTGTGATCCCTTTGAAGGCAACAGGGAGCAGCTTTAATCCGAAAGAAAACCGGGTCTTCGTACTCGTGAAGTACCAGGTTTCCACGTCCGACTCGCAGAGAGTTTCTTTTGGCGATTCCCAGGAGCACAGAACCCAGCAGCAAGGCCTGTAGCGGTGACCGCTCGCGAACAGCTTGAAGAAAAGCTGCTCAAAACGGGCGCCTGTGCCTTTTAGTTCAAAGTGCTGTAGTTCCTCCGGGACGGTGAAACATTTTGGTTTATCGTTGTGAGAAATCTAAATTGCTGCTTACTTTATTTCCAAATTTACTTGGACTTTTCTCCCCTTCCCCCGATCGTTGACAGCTAGAACAACAGGGACATAGCGTATGGAAAGTCTCAATAAATTGGAGCTCTCGCATATGCTGACAAAAGAAAGCATCACCCACCAAATATTTCTGAAATTAGCTAGGATTGACACTGTGGGAGTCTCCAAGTCCTCTTATTTGCTTATGGAACGGCACATGTTGGCAGAAAGAAGTGCGAGCATCTTTAATTCTGGCATATTTGTGACTGTGCAGGTTTGGAGGAGTTCTCTGGCGTCTCCCAACTGCTTGGGGCCGTTTCGCTGGCTCTGAGCTGTCCCGAGTTAACACGTGAAGGGAAGCCTTCGCTGTTTGGTGCGGAGCAGAATGGGATAAGCCCAGCAAGGCTGTGGTTAGATTTCCTGTGAGGTGCAAAGATGCTTCAGACCATGCTTGAGGGAACGAGTAGCAGAGCAGTACACTTCATATTGTGTTGTTTAGCTCATTTAGCTGTAAAACTTTTGATTATAGCAGTAGACAGCATGTAAAGAAATCAGCGTTACTCCAGGCCAAACTGTCAGCAGCACCTTCTCTCCTATCCACCGCCCCCTGCGGTAGATTATTGGGGGAGAGCAGCCCTCTAGGCGTAGAGTCATGGGATATTTGACTTTTTGCAGGTGAACCTCTGCAGAGGAGGGGCTGCTGGGCCGGGTGGTGCTTTCCTGAAAGTCTTGTGGGTCCCCTTGTGCGGAAGGAGACGCCTTTGCGCTCGGTCGGTGCTCGTCTGTCTCTTGGGTTTGTCAGTCTGTAGCTTTGCTTTTGTCAGCGCTGCGGGTTTATTTTAAGCGGGTTGACAATAAGTTGCTTTGCTTGGTTCTTCCCTGGCTGCCTGCAAGCAGTCCCTGGATCAGCTGGAACGGTGTTGGTCTCTGGGTTCCTCTGAGAAGAGCCTGCCCTCGGCTGTCTCCTGGCGTGTAAGATTGTGGTGGTTTCACGTACACGTTTCCCTGTCACCTGCACTTGGGTGTGTGTATGTACATACACCCTTATACTGCTGTCTTCTAGAACTTACAGATTTGGGGAGAAAACAGAAGCTTGCTTAGAGTTTCGTTAACAAATTGCTAAACACTTGGACACCTGTCCTAGCCTGTGGTCAGGACGGTGACCCTAAGGTGGCATTGCTCAAATTTGCCTTTGTCCTGCAAAGCTCTCGCCTGCTTCGTCTTTCACACCTCGTCTAACGAAGTGTAAGGAGGTTTCTTCAGGGGGTTGACTCCTGTGTTTGCTCCCTCTTCGCTCTTGCTTACGTGTAAACGACGTACTGCAGAGCAGCCTCTCAGCTGAAGGTGCTGATAGGAGAGAAAAAAAGGAGAGATTCCCTTGCTGGGAACAAAAATACCTGCAGATCCCTCGCTGGGAGCGGCTTGAGTTGTTCCCGCTGGTGGGAGCAGAGAGGGCTCTCTTGTACTTAACAGCTTCCAACAAAACGGAGGGGGGGGGATCACTGTTTGTGAGGGACAGAGGGGCTAGAACAAGTGACAAAAATCTTGGTGTTGTTGGGAAGCCAGGCTGTGACGCTCAGTTTTGCTGAGCTGAGAGCAGCAGCCGAGAGTCTGGAGGAAACCGCGAGTCTGGAGGAAAGGCTGGCTCAGCCCCGGAGACTCGGCAGCTCCCGCTTTGGAGCTGTGTTCATTCTGTTCCCTTCCCTGTGATACACCAGCGATTGGTACGTGTGTCCTGCCCAGCCCGACAGCCTGCTTTGGTGTCCAGCTCGTGCCTCGGGTCTGCCAGTTTGGGCCAGTGCTTTATGACCGTGGTTTATCACAGACCCCGGACAAAGACCTTTGTTTCCCACCTGGATCTAGAACAACCTACGGATGGTCCTTGCACCTTGGCACCGGGAGTGGCTGCTGATCTTGATACTTCAGGCGTATTGTAGCGGGGGGTTATGTAGTTGCCTTGCTATTTCCCTCTCTTTCACTGCTCTCGTTCTTGGAGAGTTGGTTTCGGATGAAATAACTTTTTATTTTTTAAAGCTAAGCTTCTGCGCTTTCCCATACAGCTGATGGCAATTTTATCTTAATTCTGCCCAAAGCCTCTGAATCCTTCTGAACACAGATTGCCTTCCAGGAGCACTTACCAAGCCCCTTGGAGAGCAAAGGACCCTCAAAGCGGTTGGTGGGGGTAAGCCTGCTGCTCTGTTACGCTGCCAGAGGGACCAAATCCTGCATTCCGCAGGCTTGCAAGGTGGGGAGGGCAGAAGTTTGGGAGAGCTCACTTTACAAGAGCTCCGGCTGCTTCAGCCTCGGTAAAGTGCACATTAAGAGCTCAGCCTTCTTGTTGTGAGAGAATTTCACGTTCAGCTTCCCGGGGCAAGTCCTGCAAGTGAAGGTGGACGTTGAGGCAGGTCAGCCGAATCTGTAAGCGTTGCCTTCGTGGAAGCAGGGACTCGCCACAGTCACATCAGTCTCTCTTATGCCACATCCAGGTAGGTCAGGATTTAATCCTGCAGTAGGCTGTGTGCTAGAAAGGCAGGTTTTTCCTCTTTCTGACCTTTAAACAAGATGTTACCTCGCATCTCCTTGTCTTTTTCCTAGGCATTGTCCGACAAAAAGAAAATACCTTATTATTGCCTTTTCTAGGCTTTTTAGGGAAAGGATGCCTGCTGAGCTCTGCCCAGCCAAGGCCACCAAGGCCGGGGAAGCTGCTGCTTCTGCCCCTGTGGGGTTTGCGTTATCTCCATCTCCTGAGACCCCGTGGCGCTCAAGGCGTGCCGGGTGGCTCTGCCGGCACCGGTGCTCTCAGTATTTGCCTCTTACCAAAGAGGGTAGTTGGTCATTTCCCTCGTGTGGATCTGTGTGCCGTGTGTTTGTTTCCTCTGGCTTTATTGCTGAAGGCGTGAGGAAGGAAAAATCTGAAAATCCTCAAGAGACAAGTCAGTAAGAGAATAAACTTAAAGAGCTGTTTTTTTAAATCCTTCCATTAAAAGCAATAATTTTTTTTACTTTTACCAGAGTTGTTTTCCTGCTCAGCGTTTTTCTTCGGGCAGATATTTTCTTTTTTTCCCCAAAAGAGGAAAAACAGTACGGCGAAGGGTTTTCCTTCAGAAAGCCTGTTTCCACCACAGGGATTGTTCCAACTGTTTTTTGGGGTTTTTTTCCATGCCAGTTTGTGATTTCTAACACGTTTTCAAGAGCGAGAGGCTGCTAGAGCTGCCGTCCAGAAGCTGTGAGCAGAGATCATTGGTGGTCTGTAGTACTGGTAAGGAATAGCTAATTTTAGCCATCCATGGAGCCTTCTTAAATAAAACGTTCTTATTTAATACTCGTGGAAAAAGTTCATGAAACAGAATTATATCACTCAAATGGTGTGGCTGTAACTCTGCTCTGAGCAGCAAGAGCTGCTGGTTGGGAAAGGCAGCACCGGAGGCAGTGCTTGCTATTCAGCTAGCTTTTGTGTTAAGCAATGGTTTGAATTTACTCCTCCAACTTGTGGTACGTCACTGTGAGGTTGTCTGGGCACCTCGTACTCAGTGTGAAGTGCAAGACGCTTGCTTAGAAAAAAAACCTCTACATAATCTCTTAAGCAATGGCTTCATAAATCTGTCAGATCTGAGAAGAACTCTGATGTTTTGCGTTAGCTGCAGTTGAGTTTGGGTTTTTTAGGAGTTTTATTTGGTTAAAGTCCACATAAATGGCTGGTGCGAGCATTGGGACTGGTGATGTTGGTGTTGGACTTGCCCCTGGGCAGCCGTGGTATTTCTCCTGATGCTGGGCAAGCCAACACCAGAGTGACTCTTCTCACACTCTGGTTTACTACCAGGGAAAGGCAAAACCAGCGTCCTCCACCTCTGACACCTCGAGGTATGAAGACCGGTAACTTCCCAAGCACAGCTTTGCCTCGGTCCTGGCCATAGATTAGGAAACAAGTATCTGCTGTGGATTTATCTTCTATAAGCACCATTTTCTCATCTACCGGTGATTTTGGCAGGTTGGTTATTTCTGTTACTAATGGAGTGTGGTTGTTGTGGCCCTTGGATGCTATATAGCCTCTCAACTGAAAGGTGAGGTTCCTGCACAGAGTATAACGTTACTCAGTTCTGATGATCAAATGGACTATCTTTTGACAGAAAGCTTCCAGCCCGAATTATTTCCCGAAGCATGCTGTGGATTGAGCAAGCAGTGGATACTTTTGAGATCTTTCCTCACTTACCAGGGAGATCTGTCCAGAGTAGACTGG